ATAATTGAAAATTAATGAAAATTTAACTTTATTGATCACAAACTTTCGAGTCTCGCACATTCCCAGGCTAATTCTCAGCTCTGGATAAAGTTTTGAGTGTACTCTAACAAGTACTGAAGAGTTTGCCTGCCCCAATCTGCCCCATTGGAAATATAAGCGATTTGAAATTTTCGGTTATTATGGGAGATTTCAAATTGAACAAGAGCCTGCTTGGAAACAAACTTTTTCAAAAATTATTTTGCAACTTTTGGATTTATATTCGGTTGGTATAGTCGAAATATATTGTTAAAGAACATTTTCTAATATTTCATGACAAACTTTTAAAAAGGGCTTAAGCTTTTGTACAAAAAGAAGTCATCATTATCATAAAGTTCACTGTTGGATGAACGTAAAACTACATTCGTTTATGCTTTATTCTAAAGTAAGTACCTGGGTTATGACGATTATAGAAGCATATGCGTAAGTATATACCTATGCATATGCGCGGATGAGTTTAATTTATACCTAAGTCTGTACTTAACCTACTGTAGTGTCAATTTGAAGCTATAGTGTATTTTGTGTAGCTTTTATTTAAACTACTACAGTGTAATTCAAATTTACGGTTGAGACCAAGTGTGATGAAAAGATCCATAAAATTGTTACTAAATACATCAACAAATGGCATGAAGCTAATCGCACGAAAGAGCGATTTGAGTCGTATTTTCGGAATTGGCTTGATGGAGAATTTGGCATCGAGGAATTCATCGAACAGGAGCAATGTGTTGCCTCAACCTCGGCCTCGGGAACAAAACATGGACGACCTTCAAAACCTTTCTTGGATTTGAGTGAAAGAGGAAAACGTCGCGTCATCGATAAAGAAGCAGTTGATCCAAAATTCGATACCATCGAGAAAGCTTTGTTATTTGCAAAACGGACCGCTTATAATCGAAAGGATTTTAATTTAGTTAAAGTTAAAAAAAACAAAAAAGCTCTAAAACCATGAAGAGGCTTTTAGTGTACTTATCGAGGCTGGATTGAGTAGATTTCAATACGAAGTAATACATAGTGAATCACCTTCAAGATTTGCACCTTACTATGTGATCGGAGCAGTGAAAAAAATATGCGCCCCTCCTAGTGAATTCATCGAAGAAAGTGCATTGCAAATACGAGTGAAACTCCAGGCGCTGATGGAAAATACAGTGAAACGAATCGTCCAAATAATTGATGCAGAGCTCAACGAGTATATGGATAGCAACGATCTAGTTTCTACGGAACTGGTTTTTCTATGTAGCTGGGGTATGGACGGATCAACTGGATATTCGCAATATCATCAAGTGTTACCAGAAGGATGTCAGGACGATTCAGATGTATTTTCGTCCACTTTAACACCAATTCAGTTGTTCATGTACAATGATCGAAAGGAAATTATGTGGTTTAATTCCATGCCTCAAAGTATTCGATTTTGTAGGCCATTCATCCTTGAATTAATTGAAGAGAGTAAAGAAGTTATTCTGGCTACAAAACAGGATGTAGAAAAAGAAATGAGTGAGCTAACGCCAGTGAAAATTGAACTCTCAAACGACAAGTTTATACTTGTTGAGTTTGATTTTGTCCTCAATAAAGGGTGTCCACCATGAAATTGCCACACTATGAAATTGCTCTAACTTTTTAACCGTTGGGTAGAATTTAATGAAAATTTGAGTGGATTTAGTTCATAGTGCATTATTTACATCCTGCAAGTTTTAAAGTCCTGTGATCAAAACTCGCGGAAATGGAGTCGAAAGAACAGCTCGTGCGTGATAAAATCTTGCGCATTCATCACGAGAACAAGGATCTCTCGCATCGTTCCATCGCTAAAACGTTGGGAATCGCGAATTCCACGGTGTCGCGAGTGATTAAGCGGTTCGAGGAACGGTTGACCACCGATCGGAAGCCCAGAAGTGAAGGAAAAAGTATTCCGTACAACCCAAAAAATCACAACCGCGTAGTTGGGGCCTTCAACCGAAATCCGAACGCCTCCGTTAGGGATGTGGCTAAGAAGCTGCACCTAAGCCGAAGTTTTGTCCAGAAGGCCAAAACTAAGGCTGGGCTTCGAACGTTCAAGGTACAAAAGGCCCCTAATCGCGACGAGAAGCAGAACAAGTCCGCCAAAACCCGTGCCAGGAAGTTGTAATTTCATCGACTGCTTTCATAAGTTCCTCCAAGGCATTGAAGTTATTAGTATCGACTACTGAATCACTTACAGAATTTTCAAATATCATGAAACTTTTCACGATGTCGGGATAATCCAGGGATTCTTTTTTCTGTCATCTTTTTGCCATCCAAATGGAACTGATCAGTGGGTCCGATTCATTAATGGCACGAATAAAGACATTGTACTCCGGAGCTCCGCCCCATCGAGAAGTACTGGGCGATTATGAAGCAGCACCTTCTTAAACGACCTAAGGTAGTGAAGACAGTCGAGGAACTGAAGAAAGTATGGGTTTACATGCAAAAAACGGTTGATTCACAGGTTGTGCAGAATCTTATGGCCGGGGTTAAGGCCAAGGTGCGGGCATTTGCGTATGGACTGTAAATAAAATACGAGTAAAATCGTAAAATGAAGTTTAATAGTTATTTCTCAATCCCTGAAAATTTGATGGCAATCGGATGAAAACTCGAATTTTGCGAATCAATTTTGTGTGTGGCAATTTCATCGTGGACACCCTTTATGATAGACGAAAAAGTCTTAACTTATATCACTGGAAATTCGTCGATGCAGAATTGTCCAATATGTGGGGAAACACCAAATGTAATGAATGATGCAGAGAAATTCGAGGAAGGATTTATATCAAACGAAGAAGCCTTGCATTACGGCATATCTCCACTTCATGCTTGGATAAGATTTTTCGAATGCCTTTTGCATATTGCATACAGAATGGATATCAAAAAATGGAAGGTAACGAAACCGTTCAAAGAACTATATGAACAAAGAAAAAAACATGTGACGACACAGCTTTACGAAAAATTTGGAGTAAGAGTAGATCAACCACGATCGGGTGGAGCAGGTACCAGTACTAAAGGAAACGTTTGTCGAAGAGCATTTGGAAATCCCAAGCTTTTAAGCTCCGTGCTGAACATTGATGAAGAGTTAATTTTCAGATTCCGGAATATATTAATTGCTATTAACTGCCAAGAGCCAATAAACCCGGAAAAATTTGATGCATATTGCAAGGAAACATATAGGCTCTATCTTAAATTGTATGATTGGTACAAAATTCCTGCAACCGTGCATAAAGTTCTCGCTCATGCCGGAGAAATAATCATACATTCACCAGCACCACTTGGTTCATTAGCGAAAGAGGCAGCAGAAAGTAAACATAAACAATTGAAAAAATATCGAACCCATCATGCAAGAAAACGATCAAGAGTAGAAAATTTACATGATGTCTTTATTCGTGCCATTAATGAATCGGACCCACTGATCAGTTCCATTTGGATGGCAAAAAGATGACAGAAAAAAGAATCCCTGGATTATCCCGACATCGTGAAAAGTTTCATGATATTTGAAAATTCTGTAAGTGATTCAGTAGTCGATACTAATAACTTCAATGCCTTGGAGGAACTTATGAAAGCAGTCGATGAAATTGAAGAAGAATTTGTTCATGATGATATTGTAACAGAGGAATAAAAAGAAATTAGTTGAAACATTTTTGATTTTGATTATTGTATCATGGCTTTTTGTATTTTTTTTTTACAGAAAATTTGTTGAAAAAAATAAACATATTTCCAAAAAAAAAGGTTTTTTTATTTTTTACGGTGTTCCCCCCAATAAAACCATGGTAGGTTGTCTTTGTTCAATAGATTTTATTCTCTGAAAACAAGCTTGAAACTGTAACCGTTATAAAATCGTAAAAATTAAATTTTAATTAATCAAAAGTTAGGCCCTTTTCAAAAGTTGGTCATGAAAATGTTGAAAAGTGATAACGCACACCTTATATTGATGAAATCAAGCAAGAATAATAGCAGAAATTGTGAAAAAATGATAGAAATATTTTTGACCGCCTGGTTGTATGAAAATGCCCCATAGTGCAGTGATTCATTCCGGTCGATGATTCGGATCCGGAGCTGAGTTGTGAGGTTGAATATCAAGCCGATTTGTCGTGAAACACCAGTAAAACTAAGTGAACATATGCAAAACTAAATCAATAATGTTTCGATTATTATATATTATTAGATTGCAATTAGAAAGCTTCACGGTATTTGCGTTTGTGTGGATCTTCCGCTCCTCATCAGAATGATGGGAGGAGAGTTGCGAGCATATATGCTGAAGGAATAACATCAGCAATAAGAGCCGTATAAGTAAATACATTGAAAAATACCATTAGAAATTTAACATCGTGTAGCACAAGTACATATGTTTCTCTCTCCCATACAGCCGCTTGGAAGTTTGCTTTTACCGTTGATGCTATCGATCAGTAGGCACAAGTTGTATTACGCGCGCATTTTGGTCTACGCGGAGGCTGTTTAATGCGTAAGAGTAGTAATGAGTCCTTTTTTGAAAAGCTCCGCTATAAGTGACGGATTGAATGGTTTAGACTTGTGATATCAGTGAGCTGATGAGCTGCGGTTCCTAAAAAATGAACCGCGGGTCATCAGCTCACTTTAGTGAATCGGGTCTTTAGAACAGCTAGGGAGCGGATCGCCCATCTCTAGTATGCATGGTTCCCAAGCGAAAATATTGTGCATTGAGATAAAATATATCTATATGTCACTGATGAATTGACTTCAGACGTGACTGGTAGCATTGAAAAAGAGCGGACGGAAGTACCAACAACAACAACAACAACAACAACATCAATCTTAAAGTCATGATTTTCGTAAAAGTCGGAAGGAAGGTCTGAAGTTAGACTTTGCGGCTTATTTGCTAGCTCGTTTCGAAAAAGGGATCCCTTTTAAAGCAAACCTTAAAAATTGACCAACATAAAATTTTAAAGTTCCTATCATTAAAGTAAAACTACAAACAAAAAGCATATAATTACCGTTACACAGCTCCAGGTGATGAAAAAGATCCTGCCATTCAAATCATCAGGCGTACTGCTTCAGATCTGGATGCCAATTTTAAATGATATTCGGCAATCAGCACGCTTCTTTGGACGATTATCAGCTCTTCCATTCACTTCTTGCTTCGGTTTGAGAATGTCTGATTGTTGATTCGCGTGCTTCTTCTCTTGTCTTCACACAGGTTCACACCACTTCCCACCAATCTCTCTGGACAACGAGTAATCAGCAAAGAAAGTGCTTGATTTCACGATCTCAAAACAATTCAATTGAATTTAGGCAGCACTAAAGTTGTAAACCCGAAATTGCAATCTTTTCTCTCTTGCTGAACTATACCTTTACTTCCAACAAGCACTCATAAGCCCGTAAACATCGCAAACAGTCGCGAAACAACACTCGAGGAAACTTTTCTGCCCCAAACAATCAAAGCAAGTAAAAACACAAAACTTATGTTGCACAACCGAAAGGAGTTTATCGAAAACCCGAAACGATTCTTCAGACACACAAATGCACGCAAAGCGGTTCGGAATTAATGTTGTATCATGGGATTTGGAGTGGCGGCTAAGTAGAGAGCGAATTTTCAGCACCATTGAGGAGCAGCAGCAGCTCGCCGGGCACTTGAAAATGTTGTGGCACTTTTTGCTTTCTTATTCGTCCGTTGAAATCGCTCGACGAGCACGGCGATCGCTGCGCCCCGGCTGACCGCAATCATCGGTTGATTCGTGTTGATGTGTTGCAGGCGGGAGGGGGTGATCCCTTCAAGCTTCTGCCAAGGGGAGCCTCTCTTTGGCTGGTTCTTCCTGTGGGATGGAAAGGAAAATCGGACATGAATTGATGAATTTGGTAACATGAGTACAGTCGTAATATCGGTGAACACGGCAAGCTAATGTGTAGTTCAAAGATTCCATAAAATAACTGATAGAAGATTAACAAAAATGGCCTGGTTAGTAAATTAGATCATTTAAGCAGTTATGAATGACATAGTGTGAAATTATGTTATCTTTTGTGTCTTTCTACAGTAGCCCCTCCATACATGCTGTGGGTGGTAGTGTCCACCCACCGCTATTTCTCATTTCTATCGGTAGATTACTATTTTTCTAGACCCCCTCCACCCCATGTAAGAAAACGAAAAAAATAATACAAACACCTCCTCCCCCCAGCCCCTCACTCGTCACTTAATGCTTACGTAATTATTGAATGGACCCACAACCCTTATTCAAAGACATATTGTCAAATAGCCGTATCTGCTTTTGTAAATAATGATTCAATCGTCGTTTTGTCGAGTCTGCTAGCACAGGCACACAAACTAACACCACCACAAGGAGGTTAAGTTAGGTTAGGTTAGCCTTATTGATGAGGCATTCAGTCGTGGGCTGGTTTGTCTCTTACCACACCACTAGGAAGGTTAATCAAAGCATCCTTGAATAATCTAGAATTCTGCTTTCTACGGAAAACCCACTCAGCTGCCATTTCACCGAACCAAACGCGCCAGGAATGCGCGTTGAGATGATGACGATGATGGCAACGGCAGGAGAGATATAAGAGGAAAAAACGACCTAAAGAACAGTTATTATTTTAACAACTTCATTTGTTTGCTAATAGTTTGTTTCCTTTCGCGCAGAGAAGTACCTACACACAACGACGATCGATGGATGATCACAGTGTTAGTGAGCGAGCGAACCAGATCCGATGGGAACTTGCAAAGCTGCATTCGCATTCGCTCGCAGCTTGGGCATAAGCACAGCATAGTCATCATCCTCATCAACATTATCAGGGTTGCAGTTGCAATGATGTTGTAATAGAAGTGATCATACCGAGAGTCATAAACACCACACGTAGGATGGGCGTAATGGTGGACCATTAATTATATTGCCTCGGCTTAAGACATTTACGGTGCAAATCTAGTTTTTATTAATAAAATGTATGGCTTGGCCTATGGACGTGGCTATATTGTCATTATTTTATGATGTTAAATATTTGTATTGCAAACTTTACATCGATCATTAATCATTGCGTATGTTTCAATTAATGTCCTGTCATACATGCCGTGGACACCTTTTATTTTAAATGCAACCTTGTTTTTTTTTTAATAGTTGAATAAAACTAAACTTATAGATCTAGTGTAGTAAAGTTTACAAACTTATTGATCAGCTTGTGCCAATGCAGCTTTAGCTCTTTGTTTGCTGATCATCAATAATTTTAAAAGACATTTCTTACAATCCTTAATCGAATTCCTTGCTTATCTGCATTTTTGTTATCTATTATTGTCACATAGAGAATTTTTGTTGGTGCTGTGCCGAGTTGATCGGTCGCATGTTGTTATTAGTACCGCGTGTGATATTTGATTAAATTAAGGCTTCGCATACGTTTTGTTTTTAAGTCATTGGAGTTTTTCGGCTGTGTTATTGTGGATCAGTGGTTGCATTTTATTTGATTTATATCCCGTGCGCTATCGTTTAATTTGATTGAATAAGTGTTCGTTGATGCAATGATACTCTTAAATTTCCCTTTGTAAAGCTTAGTACGCAGCTCAAAATAAAACGGAAAAGTAATTTTTGAGGAATATTCCCAAAAGTAAATTTGACAGCTATAGGGAGGTGTCTTTTGCTAAATTTTGAGATTATAGGAGGGTCTCGTCTAATTTTAAAATCAACAATTATCATTTTGTATGTTGTTAAAATGCATCCAAAACATCATTTTTACAACGAACGTTAAAATTACCCAACAGAATAATTGATCAGACCATTATTCCCCGAGGAAAGTGTAATTGCATTCAGAATGCGCCACCTTCATGTCGATCATGATACTAATGTAATCGATCTTTCTTTTACCGATTTCTTTTGAACTGTGTACTGGGTCAAGAAATGCCAAGGAAAAGTAATTTTTTTAGCATTCCGTGTTCTATCCCGTAGCACGTACAAACGTCATTACTTTTCAGCTGCATACCAGGCTTAATTCGGTATGACCTCGACCACACTGCTTTATTGATCGCTTGCTGCGATGAGCAATGCATTTGTTCATGGAATATGGTTTAAAAGAAAAGAGCACAAAAGATCGATTCTTTTGGTTCGATTAATCGATTTTTTGAATCGATCTCAAGCACGGCTCAAGCAAAAATCGACATGATCGATCCTTTTCATTCGATTTTTGTTTCGATGCAACAATAAAAATTTCAGTGCGTGCTGTACCTGGAGTCTTCTTGGGGAATGACATTACCATAGAGGTAACTCTAAGACTAGTTGGTTCCGAAGAAACGTGTTCAACTTTTTGGCTCAGCTCTGGTACTATCTTCGGTTCAAAGCTAATCGATGCACCCCTCGAAACATAGGAAAATCCACGAACCCCTTATTTTATCTGTCAATCTTATTAGCGAATCAAAACAAACATTGTGTAGTGCTAGAATTTAGAGTAGACTGGGTTACGCTTATAGATGTACTTGGGACCAATAGGCTAGTCAAGTAGTGAGCCAATTTAAAATCGTTAGTTTCCACCGGTTGATATTACTCCGTGCACGAAATTTTAATCTGATTGAATTAGTTTTTGCAAAAGTTTTCTTCTTGCATTGCTGCTATGATGGTGCTTTGTGTGCGGCTCTCACATTTTCTTTTGTTATCTAGTATGACTTCGATCGAGCGTGCGGTTGGTGTGATGAGTCAGGCTTTTGTTCACGCGAGTGTGCTGTGTTCAAGAATTAATAGATACCGACTTGCGTGATTGACCGGGGTTGGTGATGAAAGGGCTAGCCAACCAAAAATTAAAAAAAAAAAAAGTTAACGTTGGTGGTTATCGTGTGAAGCCAGGATCCGTGCACGTGGGGAATGTTTCGGGGCGGCCAGCGAATCCAAACCAGGGCTGGCAAATGTCATTTTCAATGAAAGATCTCACGCGATATTTACAGAGATACTTCTGTCACTATCATCGGATGAGAAAACGATGATAGAGATTTTCTTCAAAATCTCATCGCATTTTTTGTCATGACAGAACGTGAGAGTGTTGAGATCAACGTAATTACTAGCTCATTTATTGCTATTACAGTTACTTGTACCGAGGAAATCTTAATAATAAATTCACTCTACCGATTACATACGGTTGCTTGCTTAAATTAATCTAAATCAGCTAGAAATGTTGTTACTCTCATGAGTGCTTGATCATTGGAAAATGACAAGAAAGTTAATGATCGGTAGTTTCGTCTCGTGATAGTGAGAGGACCTGTTTTCTCATTGTCACATGACGACTGTGATATTTACCAGCTCGGCTCTCTCTGCAACACAGCTCGATCGGAGTGGTAGAAGGATAATGATATATTGCTTGCCTGCTTTGCTGAGATACATGCTTGAGAACATAGCTTGATCGGAATCGGGAAAAGACACAACAACAACAAAATCCATTAACACGCGTGTATCATCTTCGGCTTTACTTCGTGAAGCAGCTTGCCAACAATTTGGTCGTTACCTTCTGCCAGCCCAAGTGAGCTGTGTTGCAGGAGCGTTTTATCATGAAAAAATATGCTTTCGATTTTTGACAAAGCATTATCGGCACTGATGAATCTAATATTTTCCCGATCAATGCTCTTATTTTTAGAGTGCTGAAAAACTATACAGGGGAAATGTCTCTAATGTTGGCCTATGGATCTAAGATTGGGCCCATCTCTAAAAATCTGCTATTTCCGGAGAACTTCGAGATTAGGGCGTAATTCGTTTTGTAAACAACTAATATCACAATCAGGTATATGAATGATTTATCTATCATTTGATATAGTTTGTGCGCGAGATTGAGCTTTAATTCGCTATAAATCGGCGATTAACATGTTTTTTTACAAAAGCAATTACGCCCAAATCTCAGTTCTCCGGATTTATCAATTTTATCTAGATGAACGCGTTATTGGTTCGTTACTAATGGATATTTTTGGTTGCTATTGAAAATTTAGTCGATTGCTGAATTTATGTATGGGCCCAAATTAGGGACACTTAGGCCGACATTACCTGCATTTCCCCTATCACATGAAATTTGTTAAAAATTACATGATTTTCTGGATGAATTTTCTAAAAAATCCGGAAATGAACACAAAATGCCATCAATTATACAAAATGTACACCAAATACACTTTAATTCCTCAAAATATCTCAGAGGTATTTGTTTAAAAAAATATATTGCTTGATTCAACCAACCTGCGGACCATTCGCAGACTACGAAGCTGGCGAAGTGTGACCATGGATCGAGTAGAGTGGAGACGACTTCTTCGGACAGGATAGGACAACAAACCCGGAAAAAATTACCATACAATTACCATTAAATAAAATACAATTACAAGCAAATCTATTGCCAACAATCGATCTTATTGTGCGTATATAGTACACGAAATTTTAACATATTATTATTACAATACATGTACAATACGTCACATACAGTAAAAGTTTTTAACAATAGAACAACATTACAATTAATGGTAAATGGCTCAAGTTTGTTCGGGAAAAAGCGTTTTTCCGTATGGTTAAGATACATAACGATCCCCTTGATCTATTGTATATTCCTCCATTTACCATAGATTCTATTGTATAAACAATACATTCTTTTGTAATTTTATCTCGGTGGAGAATACGATTTATTGTAAATACAATAAACTCTATTGTATGGTTACAATACATTTCATTGTACCTCTACGGTTCATTTTTTTACGGGAGGCCTTAGCCTGATTGGTAAGGTAAGTATTATTATTTTGAATGGAGCTAATTGGTGATTTTATTTCCATCGGTCATTTGATTTCGAAGATATGAA